TATATATTGTTGGTGGACTAAATACCATTCTCCATATTTACACAACATCATGTTAGCACATCAACTATAAATCCCTACTTTTTCTTCATTTTAGAGATCATTTGAGACTTTTTGACAAACTTGTTGTGGTTAAACTCTTGTGAGAGAGAGAGAGAGAGATGATATGTTTCCTTTGTCTTCGTTGTCTTCGGATTAGTGAACATTTAACTCCTGATTATAATGGATGTGGGGTTAATAAGCAAAGTCATATTAATGTTTATGATGTTGCATTCTCTTAATGTTTGCACACCCAAAGACTAGGCAGATTTGGTTAACATTGCCAACTTGCTAAAAAGGTTTGTGGGTCAATTTGATTCAGATCCACATAGGGTCTAGCTCGGCATGAGTTTAAGATACAACATCAACAACTCATCATTGTACCTAGAGCTCATGAGAACTTGATGAAAGTACTAGCAAAAAAAGAAGGTTTTGTTTTGCCCAACGTACAAATCATCCTTTTTTACATAGTCAATGCGGTATTCGCAAATTTGGCCCCTTATCCATTAATTTGGCACATCACATGCTTATAGATCTTGAATGTAAAAAACATCACTCAGGCCACAAGGCCAGCGACAACGCCACAATATTATCCAATTCACATGGGGACGTTACAACTCTATATAAGTCACGAGACATGCCTCAATATCGCACGCCATTATATATTTCATTATAAATTTTTATCTTTGTACTTAATTAATGATGCATGCTACAAGATTCGCGACGGTAGAGTAACAGATTGTCATCTTAGCATTGTACAAGAATTCAACACACACTCCGATAAAAGAAACAACTAATAGAGATGGCAGAAGTTTTCAAGTGAAAACTCGAAAAGAGCAAAAAACCATGAGGTTTGACCTAGTTTAAGAGATCCATTATAAACTGGAGATTACAAGTACAAATCATTGACCCACAGGCGGAGAAATAGTTATAAAGTCTCTCGAGTTACAACATTGACGTGCATATAAACTTATTGCAATGAACGTGAGGTGACCAATAGCGATCGACGGTGTTCGACAACGGCAAGACTGATGTTATACTTCAATATCTTCTCAAAACTTCAAGCCTCAAGCCTTAAGCTCTCTTCCAGGCTTCAAGCACTTCTCCTTCTCCTCATGAGAGTGATGGGGGCTCTATTTATAGAGTTATGGGGACAATTAATGTATGAATATGAACTGTTTTGATCAAACAACACAAAGGGCTTCATTCGATCAGACGACGTTTGATGGATATTCGAGTGTTTTAATGATGTCAGAATTGCAAAAATCTTAGGTTTGTTGGATTCATTTTGCCAATATACCCAATTCAATTATATGCTTCTCAAATTTGACATTTGTTAAACCTTCCAAATGTATCTATGAAGCGTCCAAAAGCGGTTTAATGTCGTGATCGGAGCTTAATTTGTTTCAGGTTGGACCAATTTTGGTATTATTGGGTTCGCATTATCGAGCTAATCAATTTGACTTTAAGTTTGCTGAAATCGGGCTTCTGGATGACTTTTCATCAAAGTCTTATCGTTTCTTACTCAAGAGATTGTCCTGAGATCTATGTCATGCCTTGTGATTCGTTCAAGATGGTGGAATTTGGTGATGACGTGTTAATTGCCCCCTTGTTATTGGGGGCCGTCATTTTCATCGCGTGAAAATATTAAAATCCGATAAATTTGAATTTTCGACAAATTTGATATATATATATATATATATATATATAAATTGTTGATTCCCGAATAATTATTAGATGCAAAGGCAAAAGCATATTTAGTGTTAAAATAATTATGAGAATTATGAGAATAAATTATATGTATATGTTAACAAAAAACCACGGGTAGCATGGTTGGTGGAAATGGGATTCCGTGATCACCTGGAGACGTCTCGACTATATTAAATTTTGTGGCGTATATAAATCCATCTCACAAAATTATTATGTATTTATATATTTCTAACTAAACTTTCATGTCTATTGATTCCATGTAGGCTGTCCGAATTAGGAACGACGACAGGCATTGCGATTCTGCGGCTTCGAGTAGTAAACGACGGTGGAATTTGGAGAATTAGAGACACGGAAGGGCAGGAATTCAAAACAAATCTCAACATACAAATCTTTTATAGCCTTTGTAGCTGTTCTTGTTAGTCTTTATGATTATTTTAATCATGTGATGTAATATTTATAGATGATGATAATATATTTCTTTGTACGTCTTCAACGTTACTTCTAAAGTTATTGTGGCTTCTCAATTAAAATTATAGTGTGCGCTTTATAAAAGATTATCAGGTACCTTTTTAGACACATGCCCTCTGAGATTTGTATCATCTTAGGCTTATATTTTCCAAGGCTTGTGCCTTCTCAGGCTTATGTCGTTTAGGAACTTAACATGTGCTGGTGTTTTTTGAGGCTTGTAGCCTTTTGAGGTTTTTGATGTACCCGTGCCTCCTAAGACTCGTAGTGTTCTGAGGTTTTTGATGTACCCGTGCCTCCTGAGGCTTGTAGCATGCTGAGGTTTTAATGTATATGTGTCTCCTGAGGTTTATAGTCTTCTAAGGTCTTTTAGTGGAGACCATGTAACAACTTGCTTTCTTGAAGTCTTTCTAATGAGGACCCTATCCACTACTAGCTTCCCATCGAGTCTTGCTGCTTAGACTCAACTTCTTGGCGTATTGTATCTTCCCATTACGTCTTACCTTTTGAGCTCAACTTCCAGGGGCAAGGTTGAAAGGATGATATATTAAGAATGTAAAACCCTTCCTGAGTTGTATAGCTGGAGATGCTCGACGACGTTAACCCATAACAGAAAAAGTCATATGAAATCCATTTAGGTTGGTTGACCTATCTTAAGTTGTTGGTCAAAACTTTCGCTTGAGAATCATAATTGTTATATAAGAGGTTGAAGGAATCCATCAAGAATTTTGACCTATCCAAGGATGTTAGTCGAAGTTTCTGCTTGAAGACATTTGTCTGCGATGGAAGAGGTTGAATCAAGTCCTAATGAGATCGATTAATCCCAAAATGAGGTGTCAGAGATGTTCTGTTTTTCTTAAGAATGGGGGTGAAAGGTCTCAATGAACTGTATGTTTCTTGAAATTATGGTTGCAGCCATAGTCAAGAATAATGTTTGAAAACTTGTTAGTTGCTGCTTTTGAATCTTTTGCTCCTAACCAGGGGTGTTTCTCACACGAGCTTGTAAAGCAGCCCCTATATCGAGCCTTGAAGAGATCAGCTTCTTGATTCAGTTGAATAGGAACTTCATTATGATGAGGGGGCGTTGAGGAAACATTATTCGTGACCAAGATTGCTTTCAGTCTAGAAGCGGTTTTCACAGTCGTGCTCTGACCATTAAAGTGAACAACCTTTCGAGACTATAAAGTTCCCCCCCCCCCCCGAATAGAAGAAGTTATGAGAGGCTATGTGTCTGAATAGGAAGTGAGAAGAACACCCCACTAAAATCGTGCCCGAGACGTTAACATGAACTATTTTTCAAAACTACAAAGAAGGTTGCACCCAAACTGAAAGAAGTTGTAAAAGGCTTCGTGTCTGAAAATGATGAGAGAAGACAACCCCACTACAATCGTGACCAGGAAGTTGATGTGAACGACATTTCGATACTACAGTGAAGGTTGTTCCTCAACATCGAAGAATGCTTCAGAGATGATCTTTAAGATGCAAAGGAGGTCCATTCGTCAGTTGGATGACATACCTCATTGGAAAATGAAGTAGGGGCTTAGCGTCTCAAAGTTGAAGATATTGTCGAACGGGACTTCGCAGACGGCACCAAACTAATACATACTAGAAGATTCGTGGTGGTAAAGTAACATACACAAGAATTCAAAACTCACTCAAATAAAAGAAACAAGTAAAGACACTATAGGTTTTTACATGGAAAACCTAGAAAGGGGAAAAAAAAAACACGGGTCTGGCCCAGTTGAAGAGATCCACTATAATCTGAAGATTACAACTACGACCCCTTGTCTCACATGCGAGAAAGGGTTATAAAGTCTCCTGAGTTACAATATTGTCGTGCGGAAGAACTTATTGTAAGGAACGAAAGACGAGCAATAGTGATTGGTTGCAAGCTATATGCGACAGTCAATGGAGGTAGGTCGGCGGTATGCGGTGGTTGTCGACGACAAGAGTGATGTTGGATTTCAACTTCTTCCTAAAGCTTTTGGCTCTTCTTCAAGTCTCAAATTCTCTTTCAGGCTTCAAGCTCTCCTCCTTCTTATGAGAGGGACGAGGCTCTATTTATAAAGTCATGGTGCAATAATGTAAAAATATGAACCGCTTTGATTTAACGGTTTAGAGGGCTTTCATCGATCAGACTGAGTCAATGAACATTTGAGCGTCCTAATGATCTCAAAATTGAGCAAACTTGGGCTTGCTAGAAATGTGCACTCAAAAAATTCTCTCGAGATTTGTGATATGCCTTGAGATTCGTCCATGATATTGAAAATTTGTTGACGATGTATCAATGATAATATTCCTATATCTATAACGAGAGGGTCACATGTAAAAAAACAACATAATACTCGTTTAGATTAACATTTCCCTATATTCACTTATATTAACCTATCTCTCTCTCTCTCTCTCTCTCTCTCTCTCTCTCTCTCTCTCTCTCTCTCTCTCTCTCTCTCTCTCTCTCTCTCTCTCTCTCTCTCTCTCTCTCTATATATATATATATATATATTAAGCACAAGAGCTCATGTAAAATATTCCAAGCCCTTATATTACAAAATTCTATTCAACTTTTACCTGCAGCCAGGCCCAAAATAATAATAATAATAATATTTCCTTACTTCATAAATAAAATCACATAAATCCTGATTTCTAAAATTTAAATTGAAATAAAAAAATAATTTACACGATTTATAATATTTTCAATATTTGATTTTGAAGAGAAATTGCTGAGCATTTAATTTCCCGGGCAGAAATGCAGCTTGGAGCTTTAAATTCCATCACTAGTTTCCTGGGAGTCCTCACTCTCACTTGAGCCTTTTCCGAACCACTCTCAACCGCCTCTCTCTCTCTCTCGGCATCCACCACTGCTCTTATTTGTCGCACAAAGAACCCTAAAACCCATGCAGAGGTTCTCCTCCCCTTGTTCCCGCGGCCGAGAAGAATTTTGATTCTTCGCATTGATGTGGAAACGGAGATCCGCCCGATCCGAGAAACGTCAACAAAGAAAAAAGCAACGCCATTATTAATTTGGACTGCGGTAAAACGGCCACAGTCCATTATTACCTTTTGTTTATTATGTTAAGATACAGGGGAGCACTGCACTTCTGCTCTGCAACGTGGTGCCATCGTGCTCCCGCTTCAATGGATCTAGGGTTTTGGAAGTGTTAGTCGCGAGGAAGAAGATATGGGATCCAAGCTACCATCTTTCATCTGTTTTGTTCTGTTTCTCACATTTCCCCATTCTACTCTCTCCGGCGATGTGGAAGCTCTGCTTTCTCTCAAAACTGCGCTTGACGCCTTCGACCGCCTTCCATGGCGAAAGGAATCCGGCAACGAGCTCTGCACGCGCTGGCCCGGAGTTAAGCAATGCTCCCCCTCCGGCAGAGTCATAAAGCTCGTCCTCGAATTTCTCAACCTCACCGGAACCCTGGCGGCGGAATCTCTGTCCCCTCTGGACCAACTTCGCGTCCTCAGCTTCAAATCCAACTCGATTTCAGGCGAAATCCCTAACCTATCCGTGCTGCCCAATCTCAAGTCTCTTTACCTCAACGACAACCATTTTTCCGGGCAAATCCCGGCTTCTCTCGCCTCCATCCACCACCTCAAAACCATCGTTCTGTCCAATAATCGCCTCTCCGGCAACATCCCCAGTTCTTTTGTCAGACTTGCTCACCTCTACTCCCTTCAGCTACAAAGCAACCGCCTCACGGGAACAATCCCAGCACTAAACCAACCCACTCTACGCTTTCTCAACCTTTCCGACAACAACTTCTCAGGTGAAATACCGGCGACTCGTGCCTTCTCTCACTTTAATGAATCCTCTTTCCTGAACAACCACGACCTCTGCGGTGCACAAATCAGGCGTCCATGTCCTAAAAGTCAAAACTTTCCCCCTCCCCCTGCCAAAAAACCTCCCTTTTCCTCCTCCCACAGCCGCAACACGAAGAAGCTTGCAGCTATCATCGCCGGTTCGGTCGCCGGTTTCCTGCTTCTGCTAATTTGCTTGGTGCTGGTACTTTTTATGACATTTTTGAAAAAGAGGAATGCTGGAAAAAGCAAAGCCATTGACGTTGCCCCCTCCACAGCCGCAGCTGGCGGCGGCGGCGGCGGAGGAAAGGCTGGATTTTCATGGGAGGGCGAAGGGTTAGGGAAACTTATTTTTGTAGGCGGGGTGAATGGATTATATACATTGGAAGATTTGCTCAAGGCTTCGGCGGAGACATTGGGGAGGGGTACTGTTGGGAGCACGTATAAGGCTGTGATGGAATCTGGTTTCATTGTGACAGTGAAGAGGTTGACGGAAACAGGCCCGGTGTCGCCGGAGGATTTCCGGCGTCGGATGGAGGATCTCGGGCGGTTGCGGCACCCGAATCTGGTTGCTCTTCGGGCTTACTTCCAGGCGAGGGAGGAGCGGCTGCTGGTCTATGATTACTTTCCCAATGGGAGCTTGTTCTCGCTCATACATGGTAAATTGGTAATTGCTTTATGATTTATTCTTTTAATTATTTACTTTTTTTAAGTAGAATAAGTTACTCATAATGGTTATAATTTAAAGTATAAACTTATGATACTTACTCATATTTACCACTTTATTGTTATCTATTTACATATCTAACACTTAAATTTCAATTCTTACATACACGCCATTTTATCAATGCATGAAGCAGGGGCTAAACCAATCATTATGAGTCGCTAAAGCAGGGGCTAAACCAATCATTTGGGTCTGCCTCCGTCCCTAAGTTGTTTAATTCATAGCCTAATAAAAAAAATTCAAGCCATTAAACGAATTAGCAAAGAGTTCTTCTTCTAATAATTAAAATATATATATTTAAAATAGCGCCACGTGTACGGAGTCAGTGAGTCGGGCCTATCTAGTGCTGTAGTGTGGGCTCTGTCCCTATTGGTGATCGTGGTTAGTGGGTCCCGGTCGTCGTCGAGGAAACGTCAATGTCGACGCGGTTCTCTGTTAGAAACATTTTCGCATTTAGCGAAGAAGACGGAGTCAATTGAATTATTCATCCTCAGGGCAGATAAGTAAAAAGTTGGAGGGTAGTTCTTCAATTTGTCTTTTTGTTTAGGTTCTCGTCGTTATATTCACTGCCACCCTTCTCAGATTTGCTGCCCGTTTTGAATTCAAATTTGTACTTTTGAAATCAGCAGTGATTGGGTTTTTGCTGCCGGCCCCATCTAAACTCTCTTATTTACTCCATTGGATGAGTTTGAATTTCTTATATTGCCCGATTCTTCCTACCTTAGTGTTGTTCCTCTTCTTATTCCTGGCTTAATTCACTTTTACAATACATTTTAGGATGTTAAATCCGAAATTATCCGCGAATCACACCCAATGAATTGAGTGTAAAACAGGGAAAAAGCGAGAGAAAGAGAGTAATGAGGAGTTGTGAATAGTATCTTCATGTTAGATTCCACCCCCTCAGTTTTAAATAGTGATTCTTTATTTATGGGGGAAATTTTCTTATAAAATAACAATTATTCTCGATGTTGTGTTCAATGGACTGGAAATGACCTACTGTGTTGGGCAATGTGGAGACTTGGTCCACCAAATTTAATTAGCTTTTTAATTAAGTATCTCACCTACCGCTCACCTACCACACCCACCTATCGCTCACCTACCTCATCCCACCTACCGCTCACCTATCTCCCACCTACCGCTCACATGATTTCTATAAATAGTCTCTTCTGGTTTAAAGGAGAGCTAAGTCAAATAAGATCAAACCAAGTCATCTTGAGAGCTAAGAGAAAGAGAGAAAGAGAGGAAAGGAGAGAAGAAAATAGAGATTTTTCTTGTAAACTTCGACGCACTCGACGATGTAATTTCTCGAAGAAACAAATCCTCTGCAGCTTCATGAAAGTAGACAAATTTACCGAACCACGTAAATCTTTGTGTTGCTCTGGTGTTTTTTTGCGTGCAATTTTATTCGTTCTATTTTTCGCTTAATTGTCGTCGTTTTTCACAACATACTGGAGTTGGCCTATTGTTACAACTGGAGTTTGTTGGGTGAAATGGAGTTGCGGGGCCGAACGGAGTTAGATGAGCTGATTGGGCTGGCGGGCCGAGCGGAGCTGCCCGAGCCAAATGGAGCTAGCCGGGCTGACTAGGCTTGGCGGTCCGAACAGAGTTGGTCAGGTCGCGACTCGCGAGATATGGCCACCCACGCCGGACTGGATTAGTGGGCTAACAGAAGCTAGATGGGCTAATTTTAGTTAGCGCGCTAATTTGAGCTTGGTCGAGTTCAACAAATCCTTTGAACAATTTCACTTGCATAAACTTATAACTGAATGTCAAAATAAAGATATTATTAAATGAATGTTTGACCAATATGTTATTAAATTACATATATAATAAATAAGTATTTTCATGAAAAATAATTAAATAAAGTAATGCTTAATAATTCATAGATTGCTCTAATTTTCTTATGAATCTATTTATTAAGAGGGAAATTTACATACATACCACACAATTCTTATGTGATTAGATGTCTAATTCCTACACTTTTATATCTAGATTCATAACACTACTGTAATTAACTTGTAAATTAAAATGTATTTTTAATTTTTAAAAAGTAAATAAAAATAATGAGTTTGATGTGATATCAAAGATTAGAGTGTTATGCATGTAAATATGAAAGATTAGGCGTTAGATATTTGATATATAAGAATTATGTAGTATTTATGCAAATATCTCTTATTATTATAGATATTAAGTCAGGAAAGAGGTGTATCAAGTAATAAATATAATATATATTATAAAATAAAACAACTAAACAATCATTAAGTTTGAAAATTAGGGAATCTGTTGGCTGACAAGATTCAGAAGGCAGAGCAGGAGCTAAGCCGACAACCCCTCACCCTGCTTCTGCAAGCTGCAAGATTCCTTCTGGTCTTTTCCCTCCCTAAAAACTGCCAATTTTGCAAAATTCTACTATAAAGACATTATTATTAATATTGATTTCATAAATAAATTTTCTAATCTCAACACCTGACTTAAAGTGCAAGACAAAATTTTAACTAGAAATACTCAAACTCAGATTAAAAATGATCCAAAACTCTAATTTCAAGAGACTTTCAATCAAAGTCTAGTTTGACTAGACGAATGCAATGACATCAAAATTGACTCAATCATTTTTCTCCTTTGAGATGAGGGTTTGCATCTGTATCCATCAAGCTATAATGAATTATGTCTGACTAGAACAGGACTCAAGTGGTTTTTTTACTTTTCGGAATTTTCACTTAAAAACTTATCATGCCTCTACTTGTTACATTCATTACCTGAGTGTGTGACAGATTTCGTAATATACTAAAATGAAAACGTATTATTCTACAGCCTCTAATTGTCTAGCACAAATCTAACATGCCTAAACTTTTTATTATGACTTAATTAAATCTTTAAATTGTTTTATTACTCGAACACATTTTTAGCATATTTCGATGATATAAACTTATGTCTTTTTTAATTTATATAACAAATAAGATCTATTAGCATGTTTATATACATACAGTATTTTATGATGATAAATTGTGTCGCAGGTTCACGGCCAACCGGATCAGGGAAGCCGCTGCACTGGACTTCATGTCTTAAAATCGCGGAGGACGTAGCTACAGCTCTTCTTTACCTCCACCAATCGGGAGCCATCCATGGCAATCTCAAGTCCTCCAATGTTCTCCTCGGCCCAGACTTCGAATCCTGCCTCACAGACTTCTCCCTCCTCCTCCATTCCCCAAACTCCGACCACTCCTCTTCCTCCTCCCTCTTCTACCGTGCTCCCGAATGCCGCAACACCATCCATTGCTCCTCCTTCTCCCCGCCCTCCGACATCTACAGCTTCGGCGTCCTCCTCCTGGAGCTTCTCACCGGCAAAACCCCCTTCCAAGACCTCGTCGATCGGCACGGCGCCGAAATCCCTGCTTGGGTTCGTGCGGTTCGCGAAGAGGAGAAGGAAGCCGGCGCGTCGGCGGATGACTCCTCGGCTTCGATTGGAGGCGATGCGGTGGGGGAGGGCAAGCTGGCGGCCTTGATTGAGATAGCGATGGCTTGTTTGGCGGGGGAGCCTGAGATGCGGCCGGCAACGAAGGAGGTGGTGCGGATGGTGAGGGAGGCGAGAGCGGAGGGGGCTGCATCAGTGTCGTCGAATAGCAGCGGCGGTGGAGGAGGCCGAGGAGAGAATAATGGGCACTCGCCGGGGCGGTGGTCGGATACCGTGCAGAGCTTGCCGAGGGAATATGGTGCCGAAAATCTCAGTTTTGCAGAGAGGAATTGAGTGCGGGTTGGATTTGAAATGGGAATTGAGTGTTGTAGGGATTAATATGTAATGGTCGAATTGGGAGGATTGATTGTGCTTTTTTTACTGATTTGTAGAGTTTGATGTATATCATTTATTTTGATTTTAGTCATGGAAATTTGATACTTTGGTTAAGAGGATAGATGGCAATTCTAAAAATCATAGATTAGTATTCTGATTACTGTTTCGAATATCGGTGGTTGGAATGAATTTTAGAGGAATTTAAATACATAATGCAATTCTTATCTCTTTAAAGGCACATTATTGGAACTTACATATTTATGGCACTTAAATTTTTAATATCACATCAAAAATATTATCAATTTCAATTTTTCAAAGTATTTTAAAATATAAATAATTATTATATTATTTATACATTAAGATAGCAAATAATAATAATAAGTTATAAAAATATTAAATAGAATAAAAAAATTATAAAAAGTCAAATTTTAACAAGAATTTAAAAAGATAATCATAAAAATGATTCAAAATATTTTATATAAAAATAAACATAAATTATTTGATACAATATAAATTATCAAAATTTAACATTTTATTATATATATTTTTAATACTATTTATTAAATTTTAATTTAATTTTTTTTGAACATGCAAATCCAAAAAAAAATTATATATAAATACTTCTAAATTGAACCTAGAGATGCTGTATCAGTTACTTCCGACGTTGCTTCATGTCCATATATCAGATACTGTAATCCATTTTATTCAAGTGAAATAAAGTACTAATATCTCTCATAACTTACTATAAATTATAGAAATATATCAACCCTCCTTTCATTTTTTTCAAATATTATCCTTAAAGGGTCATGAAACTCATAGTTAAAAAATAAATCAAGTCCCACTAACTGACAATAATGATGCAAACAACCGGCTAAACATAAAAATAAAGTAAAATAAAATAAAATAAAAATTTGTGTAGAGCATATGAGGATTTGCTTCCTTGAAATTAAAAAGCTAACTAAAGGCATACCTCATCCGGCAAGAGATTGAGAAGCTATATAATAGCAAATTTTATGTTAGGCTAAGCATAGAATTGAGCACATTAAAACGTTAATGAAAACAGTTCAACCAGTCTGGCTCAAAGACTGAAAAAACTGCCACAAAAGAAAAACTAATCTTCTTACACTAAACAAAGACAAGTAAAAAAAGCCAAAACAAATTAAGAAGAGCGTGCCTGCTTGGCTCTTTCCAAGGCTTTCAAGCGATTTGCTTCCATCCGAGCTCTCTGCTCCTCTGTGATCTCTATCTTTTTAAACTCCCTTGGCTCACTGTCTGGCATATGGCTAGCTTGGGAAGGTTCAGATGATTTCTGCTGTGGTATGCCAGAATCCTTTAAAAGTACAAAATTGAAGACATAAAATAGATCAGAAAACCACATAAATTTTATTTTATTTTATATAGAAAATAGATTTGGGTCAGTGGAGGATTACATCCGTGGCATTCAGATTAATTTCATTGATCATTTCTTCTGGAATTTGGTCTGCACCATGAGCTTCTAATGGTGCATCTTCCATGTCAACAACTGGTTCTTCCATATGGGTAGGCTCATCACTGCGTTGCTCTAGAAATAAGAATGAGACTGAGTTAAGAAGATTCCACCGCATGAAAATAATTGAAGGAAAAAACCATTACCATGTCCTTTGGTTTGAAAGAAGTTATTTTTTAGTTTCAACAGCCTTTGTTTTTTCTTTTGTGCGATACAAGTTTATGGTAGAGAGAATATAAATACAAGCAAATTTGGAATGATTGAATGGTGAAAAGGGCAGGAGCTGCTATTGAAATTTTAAGTTAGAAGAACTATTCAAAATATAAACGTGATTGTGATAATCAATAGCAAGAGAATCAAAATGAGACTGAAGATGAATAAATAGAGAAAATTATGAATGATTTCAAACCACTAGCAGGTTGCTAAATAACAGGTCTAGAATTCAGACAAATTGTCATCACTGCGAAAATAAACTAGTCTTAACATGCTGCTTTTAATCCAACCTGCGAATGCTAAATTTTAAATATATGGAGAATGTGACTCACCTACCTCACCAACCGCGTCTCACCTACCTTTTCTCCCGTTTTTTTTAAATAGTCTATTTTGGTCTGTCATAAGGGCTAAGTCAAGTCCTCTTGAGAGCTAAGAGAGAGAAAGAAAATGAGAAGAAGAAAAAAAGTTTTCTTGTAAACGCCGAGGAGCTTCACGGTATAATTTCTCGAAGTAATAAAATCCTCTACAGTTCCGTGTACGTAAGCAAATTAGCCGAATCACGTAAATCTGTGTTATTTTCTGGTTTGCAATTTTTCGATCCGGTTTTTCACTTTATTGCAATCATTTTTTATACAAATTGGTATCAGAGCCCCGGTTCGAATCTGAGGAAGAACAATAGTCGGAGATGAAATAATGACATCGGGAATCGAGAAGTTCAATGACACAAATTTTTGTTATTGGAGGATGCAGAAGATGACTACCTCTATAGGAAGGAACTTCATCTTCCATTACTGAGAAAACGATCGGAAAAGATGAACGAGGCGGAATGAAATCTGTTAAATCGACAATTTTTGGGAATTATTCGATTAACCTTGTCAAGATCCGTTGCCCACAACGTCAGTTGCCCACAACGTCATCAAAGAAGGGACTACTGCAGATTTCATGGCAGTTTTATCAGGTATGTATGAAAAACCATTGGCGAATAACAAAGTGCACTTGATGAAAAAGTTATTCAACTTGAAGTTATTGAAATGTGTGTCCGTTGCTCAACGCCTGAATAATTACAACACTAATACAAATTAGTTGTCGTCTGCTAAAATTGATTTTGACGATAAGATACGTGCACATATATTGTTGACTTCATTGTCAAATAGTTGGGAAGTCAACAGTATGACAGTTAACAGCTCTGCAGGTAAATTCAAACTGAAATATGATGATATTCGTGATTTGATGTTGGCAGAGTTGCGCAGGAAAGATTCTGGCGAGACCTCGGGTTCGAGTTTGACACTGATTATTGATTCCAGAGAGAAATCACAGGACATAAACTCAAACAGAGGAAGATCAAAATCAAAGTCTAGTCAGCAGACAACCTACTGGAATTGTGGCAAGGCTGGTCACATAATAAAAACTGCAGGAATCTTTAAAAAAAGAACAATGATAGCGCAAATTTGGTAACTAAAGAAATACATGATGCACTATTGCTGGCAGTTCACAGTTCTGTTGATGACTGGATACTGGATTCAGGGGTTTCTTTCTTCCCATCAGGAGTTAATGTTGAATTATGTTGCAGGTGACTTTGGGAAGATATATCTGGCTGATGGAACAGCTCTGAACGTGGTGGGAATGGAGACGTTGATACTGATCTCCCTATCAAGAGCAAATGGACTTCGCAAAAGGTTAGACACATTCATGAGTTGAAGAAAAACATAATTTTTGTTGGGCAGCTCAATAAGGGTGGTCATTCGGTAGTGTTCTCAGATAGAGCTATAAGCGAGCCGAGCTTGAGCGAGCTTGGGCTTGACTCGTGTTCGGCTCTTTCGAAATAGCTCGTGTTCGAAATCGGCTTGTGAACAGTGTGTTCGTGTTCGGCTTGATTAAAATATTTGTGTTCGTGTTCGGCTCGAAATTTGCTCGTTAAACTTAAATTGAGAAAAATAGATGTAAAGTGTGGGATTCGAACCTGAATCAAATATATACAAAAGAATGCACTAACCACATTGCCACATGAGGTGTTATGATTTAAACTTAAACACAAATATATATAATATAGCTATATAATTTTTTTTTTTTGAGCTAAAACGAGCCAAACACAAGCGAACAAGGAGCTATTCGTGTTCGGCTCGTTTATAATTCGAGCTTTAAAAATTTGTTCGTGTTCGTCTCGTTTACTTAACGAACGAGCCGAACACGAGCTACTTAACAAGCCGAACACGAGTTGTTGCGAACAACGAGCTTTTTTGATAGCTCTATTCTCATATAGCACCTGGAAGGTTACCAAAGGAGCATTAGTACTAGCTCGGGGTAAGAAAACTGACACATTATATATGACTACAGATTTACTCAGGCGTGGACACATAAGTCAAAGGTGTATTGTAGGGTTTCTTCAAAACTGACAGAGCTCCAAAACTGGATCTTGTACACATAGATGTATGAGAACTTTCTCTAGTGGCATCTCTTGGAGGCTCTAGTTACTGTAAAAAGTTAAAATTTGTTGATCTACCAGAGGCCACAGTGCAGGGCAGTGATGTAAGTGAAGAGGAGAGTGGGTCTGGGACACCCATTCTTAATTGTTCCACAGACAGATAGTGGAGAACCGTAGAGCTATGAGAAAATCTTGCAATATGAAAATTCAAACAAGTGAGAGCTGACAAAACATCCACCAGAGAAGAAGACATTACAGAATAAGTGGATGTATCGGGTGAAGACTGTGTTTGATGACAGTAAGAGGTACAAAGATAGACTTGTTCAAAAGGACTTTCAGCTGAGGCAGGATATTGCCCATGCAATTGGAGTTGTAAGCAGATGCGAGAGTAACCCAAGAAAGAGTTTCGAAGTACAAAGCTATGTTGACGCTAATATGTCGACTAAGGGTGTTACTCTTGAGAAACTGAAGTTGTGTTTGACTTCAGTTGTTCTTCCAGCGTGAAAACAGAAGCCATGGGTTGCAGAGGTGGAGGAAAGTGGAGGATATCATGTTTGAAGAAAAAGATTGGTACAACGAGTAGATGATGCAGCATGTAGGTGATGCAATCAGTGTCCCAGTCTCCAAGTGTGAGAATTGTTAAATATATGGAGTCTGTGACTTACCTACCTCGCATACCGCGTCTCACCTACCTCTCTCCCACCTATCTATCTCCACCTACCTCTCTCCCGTTTTCTTTAAATAACCTCTTTTGGCCTGTCATAAGAGCTAAGTCAAGTCCTCTTGAAAGCTAAGAGAGAGAAAGGAAGAGAAAAAAAGAAAAAAAAAATTTCTTGTAAACACCGAGACGCTCGACGGTGTAATTTCTCGAAGAAATAAAATCCTCTGCAGCTCCGTGGACGTAGGCAAATTAGTCGAACCACGTAAATCTGTGTGTTATTTTCTGATTTGCAATTTTTCGATCTAGTTTTCCACTTTATTGTCGTCGTTTTTCATACAAATTGGTATCAAAGCCCCAGTTCGAATCTGAGGAAGAGCAATGGTTGAAGACGAAGTGATGATATTGGGAGTTGAGAAGTTCAATGACATAGATTTTGGTTATTGGAGAATGCAGATAGTGACTACATTTATGAGAATAAACTTCATCTTCCGTTATTGAGAAAACGACCGGAAAAGATGAACGAGGCGGAATAAAATTTGTTAGGTTGACAGGTTTTGGGGATTATTCGATTAACCCTATCAATCTTTGTTCCCCACAACATCATCAAGGAAGGGACTAATGCAGATTTCATGACAGCCTTATCAGGTATGTTGAAAAGCCATCAGCGAATAACAAACTACATTTGATGAAAAAGTTAATCAACTTGAAGATGACAGAATGTGTGTCTGTTGCTCAACACCTGAATGAATTCAACACTATCACAAATCAGTTGTCGTCTGTTGAAATTGATTTTGACGATGAGATACATGCGTTGATATTGTTGGCTTTATTGTCCAATAATTGATAAATCACGAGGATGACAGTTAACAATTTTGCAGGTAAATACAAATTGAAATATGATGATATTCGTGATTTGATTTTGACTGAGTTGCGCAGGAAAGATTCGTACGAGATCTCAGGTTCGGCACTGATTGTTAATTTCAGAGGGAAATCGCATAACAGAAACTAAAACAGAGGAAGATCAAAATCAAGACTGGTTACATAAAAAAAATTTACAGGAATTCTAAGAAGAAAAAGAATGATAGCGCAAATGTGGTAACTGAAGAAAAACAGGATGCACTATTGCTGACAGTTCACAGTTCTATTGATGATTGGATACTGGATTCAAAGACTTCCTTCCATACATCTTCCCACCAGGAGTTAATGTTGAATTATGTTGCATGTGACTTTAGAAATGTATATGGCTGATGAAACAGCTCTAAACGTGGTAGGAATGGGAGACAGTTGATATTGTTCTTCCTAACAAGAGCAAATGAACTTTGCAAAAAGTCTGACACATTCTTGAGTTAAAGAAAAAACTCATTTATGTTAGGCAGTTCAATGAAGGTGGTCATTCGATAGTGTTCTCAGATAGCTCCTGAAAGGCTAGCAAAGAAGCATTAGTACTAGCTCAGGGTAAGAAAACTGGCATATTATATTTGACTACAGATTTACTCAAGCGTGGACACAAAAATCAGAAGTGCATTGTGGGGAAACAGAAGAATGTCGGTTTCTTGAAAGGTGACAGAGCGCCAAAACTGGATATTTTACACAGATGCGTGAGGACTTTCTCCAGTGGCATCTCTTGGAGGCCCTATTTACTGTATAAATGTAAGATTTATTGATCTACCAGAGACCACAATGCAGGGCAGTGATGGAAGTGAAGAGAAGAGTGAGTTCAGAACACCCATTCCAATTGTTCACAAACAGATGGTGGAGAACAACAGAGTTATGAAAAAATATTGCAAGATGAAAATTCGAGCAAGTGAGAGCTGACAGAACTTCCACCAGAGAAGAAGACATTACATAACAAGTGGATGTATCAGGTGAAGACTGTGTTTGATGACAATAAGAGGTACAAGACTAGACTTGTTGAAAAGGATTTTCAGCTGAGGCAGAATATTGCCCATGCAGTGGGAGTTGTAAGCAGATGCAGGAGTAACCCATGAAAGAGCTTGGAGGTACAAGACTATGTTGATGCTAATATATCGATTAAGAGTGCTACTTTTGAGAAACTGAAATTGTGCTCAACTTCAGTTGTTCTTCCAACGTGAAGACTAAAGCCATAAGTTGTAGAGGTGGAGGAAAGTGGAGGATATCATGTTTGAAGAAAAGGTCGGCACAGTCAGCAAATGATGCAGCTTGTAGGTGGTGCAGTTTGTGTCCCAGTCTTCAAGTGGGAGAATTGTTAAATATATGGAGTCTGTAACTTACCTATCTCACATGTCGCGTCTCACCTATCTCTCTCCCACCTATCTCTCTCCACCTACCTCTCTCCTGTTTTCTTTAAATAGCCTCTTTTGGCCTGTCATAAAGGCTAAGCCAAGTCCTCTTGAGATTCAAGAGAGAGAAACAAAAAGAGAAAAGAAAAAGAAGTTTTCATATAAACGTCGAGGCGTTCGACGGTGTAAATTCTCGAAGTAATAAAATCTTCTGCAGCTCTGTGGACGTAGTCAAATTAGCTGAACCACGTAAATCTGTGTGTCATTTTTTGGTTTGCAATTTTTCGATCCGGTTTTTTTACTTTATTGTCGTCGTTTTTCATAACACTAAATTGTTTGTGGATCCACATCATCTAGACAAGAATACTCGAGAGAACAGAAAGAAAGAGTGAGAAAAAGAGCCAGAGAGAAAAAAAAATTCTAGGATTTTATTGCTCGGAGAATATAAATACAGAGAATGTGTAACAAAACCAACCCCCTTATTTATAGGTTTGGGAAGATCCTGATTATAGTACATAATTGAATACAAAATAAAATATAAGATCACATAAAAGCGCAATAATATAAAGCATCCTATGATTTTATAGGACGCCAGGCTACTAAGAAGACAAGTTACTGGCTTGGCTAATGGTCATGCCTAAACATAGCCTACTTGCCATACTAATATTTGGCAGACCTGACCTGAGTCAAGATGAGCCAACCTTGTGCTTATGTAGACTTTAACTCAACCCGTTTCAATATTAAATGAAAAAAAAGAATATTCTTGTTCAAAATGTGAACAAAGCCAACACAGCTTGATTATTTCTAGAGCTCTAATTAAAACGAAACTGCGATAAAAAATCAAGATTAAGAGCATGAAAAAAAAAACCTGGTTCTTCATTTGGGTCAACCAGCTCAACAGGTGGTTCATGCAATTTGGTTGGATCTCCCCCTCTGGCAACTCTTTCCTTCAATTCATGAATGCATCGCTGTTTGAAAAGACTAGTTTAATGCGCAAGAGAGAGAATACAAAATGAACTAATGAGCTTAGATAACCAAAAGCATTTTATAAGAAAGAACGGATATGAAGAAAATGGATTACAGTTTTTGGATTGCATCAATCCTTTTATGATATGGTCTGTCTCTAAAAGATGCACTCAATGTAATATTCAAAGGTTATGTTCATTTCCTTTTATTAATTTTGATATCATGGGGCCAAGATTTGTGTTTCTCCAATGCAGGAGGAGCAGAACAAATTAAGACGAGAGTAGTAGGATGGCTGCGCTGAGTAGTATTTGCATACATACCACCAAATTTATATGTATTTACATATCTAGCGCCTAAACTTCACTTTTTACATTTAAAGCACCCAAATCTTTCATATCACATAAAAATACCACTATTTTAACCTTTAAAAAGTGCATTGGTAAGGTGGCATATATGTAAAAATTTAAGCTTAGGTTTTATAAATGTAAATACATAAGAATTAAGCGACATGCATGTAGATCTTCCTAATAAATAAATTCAGTGGAATTCTCAAAAAATCAAGGCAGTCACTGATTGACTTAAGCTTACCAATGTATAAGAAATGTAGAGCATCTTATGTATGTTATTATAGTTTGCATAAGGGTTTCACAGATTTCTGCCCACTACAATAAAATACATTACATGCACATTACTTCTTAAAGCACTAACATATTATGTTTATGCTAAAACTTCACCATACATTTTTTTACAAATTTCACATTCAAATCTGTAGAAGTAGTTTATTAATATATTCATTAATTCTTTTTATCTTTTATACGATGAGATTGATTTAATTCGTAACTAGCACTCTATTTTTTAGTTTATTTCACAAATTGAAATCTACATTGCAGAATTTTTTATTTTGAATACTAAAGCTAATATTTCTGGGTCCTTTTTTTCTCAGCTAACAATTATTTTTTTTGGATTACATAGCTAACAATTATTTTAGAAGAATGGGGATATTATTAGTAGAATTCAAGTTGCTCGGCTGAAGCAGAGGACTGCATCAGGCCTACCATGCGATAGAAAAGTACGGCTTAGACTTCACGGAAAATTTTATAACACGGTGGTGAGACCAGAGATGCTTTATGGCGCAAAATGTTGGCCTTTAAAAGAGAAGCATAAAAGGAAGTTAATTGTTGTTGAGATGCGGATGCATGGGTGGATTAGTGGCTTGACACTTAGATAAAATATGAAATGAATGTATTTGTGAAAGGATTAGTTTAGCTCCAATTGTAGACAAGATTAGAGAGAGTCAGTCTTAGATGGTTTGTTCACATTAAATGTCAACCATCAGATGATCCAGTTGGGACGGTAGATATTTAGATTGGACTTATGTAATGAAGGGCAAAAGTAGACCCAAAAAGACTTGGGCATATTGTTTAAAAAATGAGCTTAATATATTATAATTAAATGAAAATATGACACTCAATAGGACACAATAGGGAAAAAGAATTTATGTAGCCGACCCCACTTAGTGTGATAAGGGCTTATTGTTGTTGTTGTTGTTGTTGTTGTTGTATTATATTTCCCGTAAAACACTGACTGACACCTTATAAGATTGGGTTAGGAACATTTTGAATCAACCTATACTAGAGCATAATTGAAAACATTATAAAGAATATTTCAACAGTTCACTATTCTCTAGAAAACTAAGCATATGTAAAACCTTTCTTCACTGAAAGTTTTGAGTCATCTTGAAAATTCAATAAAGGTGCATTTGCATACATACCACCCGATTGCCATATATTTACATATCTAACACCTAAACTTTACCTTGCATTTATACCACCCAAATCTTTCATTTCACATAAAAATTACCACCGTTCTAACTTTTGGAAGGTAAAATGCACTTTTTCATGCATAAGTAAGATGATATGTTCATAAAAACTAAAACTTAGGTGCTAGATATGTAAATATATAAGTGAGTGGCATGTATACAAGTCTTCCATCAATAGGGGCATTTACATACATACTACCAAATTACCATATATTTACATATCTAACACCTAAACTTTACTTTTTACACTTATACCACCCAAATCTTTCGTATCACATTAAAAATACCATCATTTTAACATTAGAAGGTTAAATACACCTTTTCATGCACAAGTAAAATGATTTTCGTAAAAATTGAAGTTTGACTGTTAGATATGTACATATATAAGAATTGAGTAGCATGTATGTAAATCTTGGGGCATTTACATACATACCACCCAATTCCCATATATTTACATAACTAACATCTAAACTTTACCTTTTACATTTATACCACCCAAATCTTTCATATCACTTCAAGAATACCACCATTTCAACTTTTACAGGGTGTTTGGCTGCATCTTAGATTTAATTTAAGCAGGATTTACTAAATCCTGTAAATCCAAATTTATTAAATTAAGTAATGTTAGATCTAAATCTGTGTTTGGTATTATTTCAGTTAAATCCAATTAAATCCACACAAAGCGTTTGGCATTTACTTTCAGAATTTAACGGAAGAAAGAAGATACGCAACAAGCTATTCTCTTAAATCTACCTCGAGATCAGATTTAGTAAATCCAGGATTGTTGCACGCTAGATAAATTTCTAGATTTAGCCAACGACAAGATAGAGGCGCAAAACTTGCGTTCGGCGGATTTACATTAAATCCATAAGTTAATCCTCCTAAAAATAGCATACAAAACAACACCTTAGAAGGTAAATTACACATTTCCATGCATAAGTACAATAATATGTTCGTAAAAATTGAAGTATAGGTGTTGAATATGTAAATATATAAAAATTGTGTGGCATGTATGTAAATCTTCCATCAATAGAGGCATTTACATGCATGCCGCACAATTCCATATATTTACATAAGAAAATGTTTACAAGAAACTCATCAGGAATCACCAGCTTACAAACTTTGGTAGGTATACAAAAATTCAAATGAAAGTTTAAACCAAGTGAGCAGACGTGAGAACTATCAAACAAGAATAGATCATAATGCGAGATCTAAAAAAAAAATCTGGAGAGATTACATACTCTGACTCTTCTACTTGCACCGACTTGCTCAACCTTGCGAATAAATTGATCAAAGGAGTAGTAAGGGATTAGATGAGAGTGCCATTCGGCATACATTCCTATCAGATTGCCAAGGTCACTAACCTGAAACACCAAACAGAAAAATAATTCATTGGGATTGAACACATGACTTACAACATGGATCTTTAAATCGGTTATTTTAGTAATCGGCTGCAATGAACAAACCAGCAAGCAATCATGAACTACTCATAATTATAATTATTCATCGCTCCACGCTTGAACTTTAATAAACTCAAAAAAGATTTGTTCTGAATTTTATATAATTTGCTCGATATGTAATCAATTTAATTTGAAATATATTTGATCTATAAAAACATGTAGATGAATATATCTATCAATCTTTTTTTTTTTTTACTTTTAATTTTGGCTCTAATCAAAATAAAGTTTAGTATTTTGCGCTGAAGTGGACTAGCTCAAATTTGACAAGACGTCAATCATACAATCTTGTCAATTACCGAAGGCTCCAACACAACAAAGAGGGATTCGTTGAATCAATTTATCTAAAACAAGACGTGCAAGCATAAATCCTGAAAAACTAATAAAACAATTGATAATTCATTACACATCATGATGAGTTAAAAGAATATTATCCAAACTTATTTGGGAGCTATCATGCTGCAAGTAAGACTTAAACCCCAAATCGATCATGAATCTCTGCAACAATTGCTTAAACCTTTCACTCCGCTTTTTATTTTTACTTTAATTCCCTCTTTCGCCCGTCGAAAAACATAATAAAACTTCAATAAAGCGAAAATAAAGAATCAGAGTGCGCTCACCTCATGGCCTCGGCCACGGTACTTGAAAGCGCGGGGAAAATGGCGGAGTACATAGCCAAGGCCGTCATCAGAGAGCAAGAGATCTTGCGTGAGCTTCGGCCGTGACCGTGGAACCTTCTTGGTTACAGGGATGGGGTTCCCAGCCGAAGACTGCTTTGAATAATTGGTTGAGTTCGGCTTAGCACCGGAATTAGGGTTAGGGTTTGTGTTAGTAGCGGATGAGGAAGGGCAATCTCGAGACCAGTGGCCTGGCCTGCCGCACTTAAAGCATCCCGTCGGCGCCGCCGGAGCTCCTTCAGCCTTTGCCATCTCCCACTCCCCCTCTCACTCCCCCTCCCACCGGAAGGATTTCGAGTTCTGTTTCTAAAACGGCGGGAAAACCGAGCGGGAAAATCTCGCTAATTTTTAAGCATCGGGAGCAATTAGGCTGCGAGCATGATTAAACTAAGCTGTATAATGAGTCCAATGGTAACTTTTAAATAGGATTTCAGTTAAATTTGAAATAATATTTAGTTCAGTTGGGCTGTCAAAAAGTCTCGCAAACAACTAGTGTTCAGGCACGTGTTCGGCTCGTTCGTTAAGTTAACGAGCCGAATAAGAACAACACGAACAATTTGTTCGCTCGTGTTCGGCTCGTTTTGACTCGAAATACTACTAATCAATTCTATATACATATACATATATATATATAATATATTTGATGAGTAGTATTTTTAAAAAACTTAATTACCACAAGGCTATAAAGATTTATAATAAATTATAGTATTAATTAATAAAATAGAATAAAAATTATTAAATTAGATTTAAATAATGTTTTACTTTAAAAAAATAATTTTTAAATCTTATCCTAATCCTTATCATTTTATGGCTACCTGATTAAAGTTGTCAAAACGATAATTTATTCATGAACGACTCGTGTTCGGCTCCCTAAGCAAACGAGCCGAACACGAACACACTTTTTTAGGTCAAAATATAAACGAGTTGAACACGAGCTGCTCTTTTTCGGCTCGTTTACACCCCTAGTTAGGATTAAATTCGAGGTTTTGTTTAATCCGTTGGGGTGGCGTTTTATAAATGCTGCCTCACATTTTGGAAACTGCGTTTGAGCAGTTTATCCGAAAATGTAGTTGATTTTTTACACTAAAAGCGGAACACAGGTCGAATCTTATGGTCTGCGTTTCCAAATAACCAGTTTATCTGAATAAGCACCACCTGCCCAAAACACACAATAAAGTTATTTGATACGTCGAACATAAATTGTTTTGACGCATTTTCTTCCTAAGCTGAATTCGTTGAATACATAGTTCAATTTAATCGTATAAGCGAGACGTTGTAAATGATACTCAAACAATAACAATATATAAGTAACAATCAGGCAACAACATGATGTAAATAATAATTTAGCATATCTCTTAAGATAGACATTGAAGCTTGCAAAAAGAAATTAGAGAAGTGAATTTTCTTTCTTCTAAATAGAGTGTTTGTACTTTAGAAATAAAGAAATATGTCGCAATTTAATTTTATAATGTTTCTAAGAGCTTTGGACATTTTAGGCAAATTTCTACATTTATTTAAAGAAAATAACTTTTGAAAATTGTATAGCTTAATAGATAAATATGCTCCCAAAAAAGCATTCAAATTTGAATGTGTTATATGTGATTCATTATAATAGGCAATCCCCGGGTATGTAGGCAGCGCACTTGCTTTTGTATGTTTGCATACCCGCTCGAGCTTGGGCTCATACTCCTGAGAGCTTGTGTATGTGGTGCATGCATCTATAACTAAATTTTAATTATTCAAGGAATTCAATAATTTTCATTTCATTAACAAGTCAATTTCAAGAATGATTGAAATTATCATTAATGACATTTTACTTGGTTCACATCATCGAGTGGAGGTATACGTTGACTAAAAATAAGGAGACAACTGATATGCCCCTTGAAAATTTACTTGGTTAGTGTAAATCTTAATGCATGTCGAATAAGAAAATTTTGAGTCATACTCAAGAACATTTTCGTTTTGATTTTATCAATTTTATAACATAATTGAACGCCTCGATAATACAGATCTAACAATAGTAAAAGTGGTTAAATTTGAGCCCATATGAGTTTGAATTAAACCTTTGAAAGAAAATCAAAAGCTTTGAACTTTTAATTATAAATTCAAATGTTCTTCAAACTTGACATGCTAATAATCAAATCAAATATACGGACAAAAGAAAATAATGAATATAATATAACTTAATTTTAACTTTATTAAGACAACTTAATGCTAATAGAATGATTTATCATCAAATAAATTAGCATGGATCATTAGTTAGAGCGTCACAAGATTTTAGTTAAAATTATCAAAATATCCCTCTAAAAAAACCTATAAATATGATCCCAATTTTAATAAGAGGGAGATAAAATGTAAAAATTAAATTCTAAATCTTTAAAAATTTGGAAGCTTGCAACCATCGGCAATTGAAGCCGAAAAACACTAATAATTGTTATGGAATGATTATATATATATATAACTCGTGTCTGGTTACTGAGCGCACAACATACTTGTGCCTGAAGTAGTTCCTTCATGATTCCTTAAATTAATGGTTTCGGGCAACGATGGCGTGAACTTTGTCGCGTGTCTTTCTCTGATGAGATTTCTTGAAGCGAAGAAGGGTTGAAGCGAAAGATTTCGATGTGCGTTTATCTTGTAAAATCAAAATGGTTTGAAGAAAAGTCATTTAAGTTCTATTGCTTGTAGAGTGGAGATCTAAGAGAGTTCTTTGTATTTTTCTGATTTTATAGTGAAAATTTTTTGTGGTGTAGCTCCGTGGGCTTTTCCAATTTTAGATTTTTCACATTAAATGCAGGTGTCTTTCACGATTAACTTTGTTGTGTTTTAGTTCAAACTTTTTGTTTTTTTTTTTTTTAATCAATGCAATCTTATTATTTGTGATCTTGATTTCAAATGGATTGAAGCCCTAATAAAGTATAAGAGATTTCCCTCACAATATTTATGATCCTATTTAAATATAATTATATTTGATATTAGTTTTTCACACTACCATGTTATTAGTCTTCGGTTTTCAAATAGTTGGGGGGTGTTTGACTGCTTATAAGATTTATGTTAAATATGATTTAGTAAATCTGGATTTTTCAAAACTAAATATTGTAAATCTAGAAAAGTATTTGATTCAAGCTAAAATTAGATCCATTAAAATCATTTATCGTGCTTGGCATAAATTCACTCTTATGACCGACCTTCTTCTCAAGCTATTTTTTAGGAGTCCCTGCCATATAAATGCTATGTAAGTAAAAATGAAAATATATGGGTCCCTGCCATATAAATACATAAGAATTATGTGGTATTTATGTAAATGTTCCAAAGTATTTCAAATTTAAAAAGAAAGCCAACCAAAGAAGCTGAGACACGACG